ATGTGTGCGACATTGCTTGGTTCTCTTCCGAGCAGCTACGATTCATTAATCACAGCACTGGAGGCGAGATCAGAGACGGAATTGACATCGTCCCTCGTTCGATCAAAGGTGATTGAAGAATATCGGCGATGTAAAGAACGTAATGTCTCAATAGGTACTAGCGACGAAACTGCGATGAAAATATCGAATAGTGAGTCAACCACAAAGTCAATTAAATTTTGTAAATTTTGCAAACGCAAAGGCCACTATCAAAATAAATGCACTGAATTTGCAAAATGGAAGAAAAAGAAAGAACTATCTGGTGACTCAAGTCAAAGCAAATCAAAGGCCAACGTAGTCGAAAATAATACAGATTCTCAAGAGCTGCTTTTCTTAATTAGCAAGACCAATGGCTGGATTTTAGATTCTGGCGCAACATGCCATATTAGTTGTAATCGCGATTACTTTATTAATTTTGATGCAAAGCATTTTGAAAATGTTTGCGTTGCTAATGGGCAAACGGTAAAAGCATCTGGCAAAGGAAATATTATTGTGAATTTCCTGAATAGCAGCAGTACATCAACACGCGTGGTGATTGAGAACGTATTATATGTGCCTTCAATTGAAACAAACCTAATCTCCGTAAAACAATTAACAAGAAAAGGATTCAAAATTGAATTTCATGGAGACACTTGCGAAATTCGTAACGGAGATGGCAGCCGTCAAATTGCAGTCGGTGACATCGTTGGAAACCTTTACAGCATGCGGATGACCAACGAAATAAATTACGTGGCGAACAATCAGAAACTTTGCGTTCACCAATGGCATCGTATCCTAGGTCATCGTGACATAAAAGCAGTAAAGGAAATCCCGGCACATGACCTCGTCGAAGGAATGATGATAGCAAATTGCGGATCAAATTGCAATTGGGCGGCTGACTGCAAGACATGTATCAAAGCAAAAATGACACGTGTACCATTTCCAAAAGAGTCGAAAAACCGATCAACAGAAATATTGGACCTTATTCACAGCGACATATGCGGACCGATGCAAACAATAACTCCTTCAGGTAAACGTTATCTTCTCACTTTTATTGATGATTTTTCTCGATATACAATGATTTACCTTCTAAAAGAAAAATCTGAAGCGTTTCAGAAATTTAAAGAATTCCACGAATTCGTACAAAATCAATTTGGCAGAAAAATTAAATCAATACGCACTGATCGAGGAGGAGAATACATGAGCACAGCGTTTCTTGAATATTTAAATACGAATGGCATCAAAATACAACGCACAGCACCATACTCACCAGCTCAAAATGGGGTAGCCGAACGAAAAAATCGAACATTAATAGAAATGGCACGGTGCATGCTTACGGACGCAAATTTGGAATTTATTTTTTGGGGAGAAGCTGTGACTACTGCAAACTTCATACAAAATCGTCTAACTTGGAAGAATGTGAAAAAAACACCGTATGAACATTGGTACAACAAAAAACCTATCTACACGAACTTGAGAAGATTTGGAGCTAACTCTTTCGTAAAGGTTCCTGATGAACGTCAAAGAAAGCTCGAGTCAAAGGCATTAAACGGAATCTTAATGGGTTTCGACATAGAGTCGAAAGCATACAGAATCTACGTACCTACTTCCAAGAAAGTAATTATTTCTCGAGACGTAAAGTTTATTGATGACACATACATAGAGCAAACGCAATCAATTAAACTTAAGAAGACCATCACTCAAAAGGAAAATACTACAAAAGAAGAATCTAATGATGAAACGTTTGTTGAAATTAATTTATTCAACGATGAATTGAAGATAGAAGAGTTTCCTGAGAATAAAGACGACAACAGCCAGATATCTAATTGTCCAATAACTCATGATGCTTCAAGTAATGACGACGATGACTCCGAAGGAGCGGCATGTGAAATTTCAACCAATAATCTTCCGATGACTGACAACATCGAGCAACCTATAACTAAAAATGATTCTACTCCAAAAAGGCGTTCTGATCGTGCAACGAAGGGTATGCCTCCTAGGCGTCTAATCGAAGAAATTAGCATCGTTATCAATAACGAACCATCCAATTACAATGAAGCGGTTTCTTGTCAACATAGCGATAATTGGATTCTTGCCATGGAGGAGGAGATTAGATCGCTAATTATTAATAATACATGGACCCTGGTGGATTTACCCGCAAATAAAATTTAATTGGCTGCAAATGGGTGTATAAGCTAAAAACGGACACCGATGGAAACATCAAGAAATACAAAGCCAGGCTTGTGGCTCAGGGCTTCAACCAAAAATTCGGCATTGATTACGATCAAATATTCGCGCCCGTCGCGAGACAACCAACGTTTCGCGCTCTACTTTCTGTTTGCTGCAACTCGGAAAATGATGGTATACCACTTTGATGCAAAGACAGCGTTTCTCAACGGCGAATTACAAGAACAAATCTATATGCGTCAACCACCAGGATACAAAATCGAAGGAGCTGAAGATAAAGTATGTCTTTTAAACAAAAGCATATATGGCTTAAAACAATCAGCTCGGGTATGGAATGAGACTTTGCATAACGTTTTGATTGAAGCCAAACTGGTCCAAAGCAAAGCAGACAATTGTCTGTATACGTACCACGGATCACAAGATAGTCTATATATTCTCGTATACGTCGATGATATCTTGGTGGCAAGTGAATCGAATACAGCCATCAGGCGAATCGAAAAAATACTAAAGACAAAATTTAATATCGAGAATCTTGGCTTGGTAGCAAACTACTTAGGCATAAGAGTAACCAAGCTTAAGGACACTTTCTTACTGGATCAAAAGAAATATATTCTGAATGTAGCAGAAAAATTTGAACTGGATAAGGCCAAGCATTGTGATATCCCATTAAGCCCATCGTATTATAACGATCCAGACGGTGAGAAATTACCAACTAACGACAAATATCGCGCTGCAATTGGTTGTTTATTATATATTTCGACAAATACCAGACCTGACATCACTGCTGCAGTCGCGATTCTGTCACAAAGGGTAGCAGCCCCAACCGTAGCTGACTGGAATCACGTGAAGAAACTTATCAAATATCTCAAAGGAACATTGTCTCTTCGTCTGAGGCTCGGAAGTGCTAAAGAAAATGAAAAGCTCGTTGGATTTGCAGACGCAGATTGGGCAGAAAAACGTGGAAGCCGCAAGTCAAATACTGGTTTCATTTTCATGCTAGGTGGAGCAATAAGCTGGTGTTGTAAGCGCCAGTCATGTGTCGCATTATCATCGACCGAAGCAGAGTTCATTGCCTTATCCGAGGCATGTAAGGAGTCGGTATGGCTTCAAAGAATTCTAGACGATCTCAATTGGAAAGCAGAAAAGAAGACAACCATCTACGAGGACAACCAAAGTGTTCTAAAAATGATCATCGATGAAAAATTAAGCAATAGAACGAAACATATAGACACAAAAGTTTATTTTGTCAAAGACTACATTGACAAAGGACTCGTAATCTGCGAATACTGTCCAACCGAACATATGTTAGCGGACTTATTTACCAAGGGGATAGCTAAAAACAGATTCATGACTTTAAGAAGGCGTTGCAATTTAATTTCCATGGATTAAGGAGGAGTGTTGGAGATTTCATTTTAACTTGTGTTATAATCCATATTAATTACATTGAGTTATTACTTTTGTTCTTTTATTATCTTAAACAATATGTGTTCTCTTTTTATTTTGAAGAATTATTTGTATACTTACACCTACTCTCTTATATAGATCTGCACTCCATCTTTCCTACACTTGAGTGTGCCCTCTATATATAACTTTGTACTCTCCGTTCATTTTGATACTGTATTGACATCACGTGTGCGTTAATAAAAGGAAAGATTGTATCTCATTAATATCTCACGGATAATTTACTGTGCTTGAAATACTCGATAACCAAATACAACACAATATATGTGTAAAAATGCAGTACGTACGTGAATATTATGTGCAGTTTTAGGTTGCGATTAATCTCCACACGTTTGCGATGAAACAAAAGGAACTATATATGTGAAAAAACAATAAAATTACGATTTATTTTAATGTCCACCGCTAGATGGGTGTTCCCGCGATTTTTGCATCATTCGTCAAGCAAGACGGAGGCCAGCTGAAGGCAGCTGATTATGACAGGTTAGAAATAATTTATTATTATTAATTTTATTATTTAAAATACGAAAATCATATATCAATATATCTTAAAGTATCTTTTCATGCTGACGCTCGACATTCTTAGCGTCAAAACAGATCACGTGATCATAATTAACGCTAGTATTCGGCTGCGTTCCATTTAGCGCTTACAGCTCACTAAATCATTTCATCCTTGTTGTTTATCAAATGTTAAACAAAGACAAATGATGCTTATAAGCGCTGTAAGTGCCAAGAGGAACGCAGCCTTTATCGATTTTGATATGATCTGTATTGATGCTTCATATCAGCGTCGAACGGCAGTATAAAATTGTACCATTTGTAGCTTTACTAATAATATACCGGTATTATTCATGTTTGTAAAATCAGTATTAATGATATATTGGTATATTACAATTATTTGATATATAATACTTTAATATTATATATTATTTTTTACAGAAAAAAAAATAGAAAAATTTTCTGCGCCACAGCTGCACTTGCAGTTGCGGCAACTGCAAGAGGCTGTGATGCGGCTTACGCAGCAGCAGCAACAACTCTTGCAGCAGCCGCAACTGCAGGAGCAGCAACAGCAACAGGAGCGGCAACAGCAGCAGCAAGAACAGCCGCAGCAGCAGCAACAAGAACAGCCGCAGCAGCAGCAGCAAGAACAGCCGCAGCAACAGCAGCAAGAACAGCCACAGCAGCAGCAGCAAGAACAACCGCAGCAGCAGCAATACTATGGTATATTTACTTCTATTTGTTAATAAATAATGTATATTGACATATGTGTATACACATATATATCAATATATATATATATATATATATTAATATTATATTTATTTATTTTTTAAATTTTATTTGCAGCTCAGACAGGACGAAGGAGTGGTGGGCGCTCCCGCGCCCGTTGGTTTTACCAACGGGGAAAGCGCGGGGGCACACTGGGGCGTCCGGTGCAAGGCGGTCGTGGCGCCCGTAGCAGTCGTGGCGGTCGTGGACAGAACATTAATAATTACTATTATTATTATAATTAAAAAATAAATATATTAACTCATTAAAAATAAATATAAAATAATTATTTTTTATTGTCCTCTTGCCGGAAAAAACCTCCTTCTCGCGATTTCCATAGTTAATTTAAAAGCATATCCGTTTTATAATTATTTATTTATAATTAAAATGCGAAAGAATAATTATTAAATATTAATTATTTATTATTATTATTTAATATTAATCCTTATTTGCATATTAAAATCACTTTCAGTTATATATTATAATAATTTAAAAATTAATTCATTATTGGAACAAATGGGAGTAATGTTGTATCGCAAAAAATTAGATGATATTTTTTATTGAAACTTCATTACAAAAAAATTAGTAATAATGTATTTTGAAATATTTATTTTAGTTCTTATAACTGCATGACAATGTCCCTGGAAACTCTGGATCCCAAAAACCTTCAAAAAAATTATATTTTGTATGTGTATATATATGTATATATATGTCCAATGTTAGATACCAAGCCATTACGTGATACTTAATGGCACATTCCAAGACATTTGTTTAATTCCAGGTCTGTCCCGGAAACAAAATTTGTCTTATGGCATTTTCCAGGACATTTTATATGTATACAAAGTTTCCAGGACAGTCCTGGAAACTTATGTATACATATAGAAATTGTACATATCCAAATGTACGTATATATAAATATATATAGAAGTTTCCAGGACAGTCCTGGAAACTTATGTACACATAAAAACTGTACATATCCAAATGTATACATTCCGCGCCAAAATTAAAGGATTACCTGATCTGATCGCTAAAAATAGGCAAATTTCAAGAAAGTATAACTTCGTCAAAAATGATCGTAACTGAATGATCAAGAATGCATTTCACAGCTTAAAGTCTCTACTTTCAAATCCATTATTCGTTAAATGACT